TACTCATGAATGTAATATAATTAGTGCCAGCCTGCCAGCGGTGTGGAACAGGGGCTCTTAAAAAGCAGTAAAGGGAAGGCAGGCCAGGGGAAGGGAAGGCAGGCCAGGGTGACGCAATAGGCACTTCCATGTGACCTCACTGCGGCCAATCACAGCCTGAAAGGAGGGCCACCAAGTGATACCAAGGGCAGGTGGGGATGCATGGCGTACATCGTTACTCTTAGCGGGACGGTGGCCGGGCAGGAAGGCAGGCACATGCAGGTGGGCGGGCTGGATGGATTGAACAGCGGGACCCTTCACACTCTCACACACGCACATGCGTGGGCTCACCAGAGCCGGCATTCCCGGAAATCACAGCGGAGATGAGGGCGGGGCTCCCTCGGGGTGATCTGGTGCCTGACAGAGAGGAACTGTGACGGTGGCAGGTGCTGGCATGGCAGTAAAAAGGGAGACAGAAAGAGAGCAGCACACACACACATGCACACACACACACATGCACTTGCGCACACACTGTGAGTGTTTTTGCCACCTGACACAATAACCGCCCAGGTGCAGCCCAGATAGGGTTACAGCGTGTGAATTCGCAGCGTGGAAATCACTGCGCCAGCTGCCCAAATCTTTTACAAATATGAAACCATTTTGGACTCGATAATGAACAGAAGGACTCGACATGCAAGACTGAAACAAACTCATTTTTGTGTCTTTGTACATCAGTAAAATTAGTGACTCCGCTTTGCGCCGTGTGAAAAAGCAGAAATGAATAAAGTAAGTCTTGTGTTGGCAGAAAGGAAAATAAATGTATTATGGACCAGTACACCCAAGTACGAATGTATTGTTTTTTAATGAATTCCTTAACAAAAAACGAATAGCAACTATTTTGTTCCTGTTCTAGGCTATTTCGAGCTTTAAATTGGTCAGTCCTGGGAACGACTTGTAGCTCCTGAGAGATGGAAAAGGGTATTCATTCACCACTAAGCCCTCGGAGTCTATTTCCCCGACAGGTGTCCTCTTTGAATGCCTGGCCCTTGTGATTTACTGCGCTAATGCCGCTGACCCACCCAGCAGCGATCCTGCTCACTCCGTCCATGTGTGTCTGACCAAGACATTGTGTCAGGTGCCTAAACATCCATAGCGGATTTTCTGTTCTATTTTCACACGCGCAACTCGAACCCACACACACGTGTGCGAACTTGTGCACGTTGGCATTTATGTATGCATATTTTCGTGTGTTTTAAACATTTCCTTTTATCGGAGACCTTTATATGATACAAGCGTCATGACAAACAAACGCCTGCATACTCATATGCACGTAAATGCGGGTATTGAGGATGGAGCGGCTTTTTGTGTGAAGTGCATTTGGCACTCAGTCCCATCTGAATTCATCCGCTATAAAGTACTTTCCCTGTAACTCAGACACAATGACGAGGAGCACATAAGACCGTGGACGGGATCAGATTATGTGTCAGTCGCAAAGCCGAGATGCGATAGACGAATCTGCATATCTGATTGACAATTTTTTACTTTCTTCCTGTGGTCTGCACTTTAATATGATACTCCCAATCTGATTATACTGGAGGGAACAAAGAGAAAAGGGAGATTTAAAGGGAAGGGAAAGAACAGGGAAAAAACAGGCATAGTAATTTAGAAAGTGGTTTTGGATGTGGAACTTCGAGATAAGTGCTGTACTGCTTCTCTGAATTCATATCCCTTTTTCCGTAAAACAGGATCACTAAGACTCATCATTTGAATTGTATACAGTTACTGGACATGTAGCCTATATTAACACAAGCGCAAAAAGCACGCACAAAGTCGGCAAATAGTGAAGGCAATGCGTTCTTTTATTTAAAATGACCAATCGAAGTCCTTTTACGTAGCATGTATTAAATGGAATTAATAGAAACGGCGGTGTGTGATTTTATTTTTTTTTTAGCGTAAATGAAGTCCCTGATGTGCCTATCCAGATAGAAACCTCTGCAATCTCTTCCCGCAGCAGCAGCCAGATTTCGCCAAATATCATCTCCCTCGATTATCCATTACTAAATGCACAGATACCTCACCTGCCTGTTTTTTGAGGTTTAGCTTCATCAGCAAACATCACCAAAATTATCGATCTAATTTAAGTGGCAAACGGACAGTCGTGCCAGTATGTTTTAGAGACGAAAATAAAGTCTCGGCGTCCTTTTACGATCAATCACTCCATATACATTCGACATAATACATTTCCCATCAAATAGCCTACATTAGGCTACATTAGCCTACATTTATCAATATGTTTTGGATTTTTTAACATTAATATTCTGAAATTCTGTAAGTATATTTATGTCACATAATTAATAATAGGCTAGTAAAATTATTATTATTTAAAAACAACAACAATAATAATCACCATAATAATTAATACCGAACTTCCCCTTATCTATCTATCTATCTATCTATCTTCTATCTATGTCCGCCTGTCAATCAATCATTTAATCTAATGCAATAATAATAATGAGCGTTTAAACTACAGCTGTAAGACACAGAGACTTATGCCTATGCTCAGTCCTTCGGATGGGCTCGTTAAAAGCCGACGGTAATATGAATCCAGGGACCGTCAGTCGAGTGGTCGTCGCTGCTTTTGGAAGTCGCTCCGCGGAGTAGTATCGAGTGACAGGCTGAGGGGACGTGAGCCCCCCCTGGCCTCGAAGGGCACCCCAGGAAAAACTTCACCCCAGAACAAACGCGCTGGTTTGAACGTCACGCTTAAAATATAAAATATAATGCAGGTCTGGCAGACGCGCCTGGACTGGAACCGCTCCTCCTGTTTATACGAGAAATTAACAGCTAATGACGTCCCGCAAACTAAATAAGCAAATTCTGTTACTTTGCACATCTATGGCTGGAAGGAAAGTATCAGATACAGACAGAGATGAGATTTTCGTATGAAAGAAAAGGAACAAAAATAAATACATTTGAAAAAAAATAAGAACGGTTGACCTTGTGGAGATAAAGATAAAATCCCAACTGCAGCTTGGGTAGGATTTTGCTGGCAAGGAAGAGCCTTAAACTAAGTAGACATGGAGTGAGTGAGGAGGCGTCCCTGCCGTGTTAATGAACATGCACACGGGGTGACGCTGTAAAGCGCGTCGGAGAAAGTTAGGGGCCCCCCCTGAGTTTGTAGGTGATAACCTTCTGCCGCGTCGCTGTGAATTATTCCCAGATCTCGCCGAAAGGGCACCTTTACATGAAATTTGCAAATAAAGTGCCATATGTCACGACTCGCGCCGCTTCGCAAATGTAGCAAGAGTCTGAGGAGCGCGGTGGCTGTCGGGGGCAGGGACGCGGACCCAGCGCATGCCGGCGGCCTCTCTGAAGGGCAGAAGCGTTGGTGAAAAAGATTCCCCCCCCCCCCCCCCGGGAAAGTGGCAGTGAGGCAGCCTGAGCTTCGGCTGCCCCCTGAAAAAAGGACACAGAGTGTGTTGCCTTGTAAGGGTTAAGGGGTACTGAGGATTGTTTAAGAATGAATTCAACATGAAAAAAGCATCATTAAGAGAGATAAATTATTCTGTTACGATCATTTGCCCTGCAGTTCCTAAGCTTAGGCCAATAACTTTTTCCTTCTGTACATTTAGTGACTTTGGATTCTCGATAATTAAAGTTTTTTCCCAGTGGTATTGACATTAATGATCCGAAGTACAATTATGGTTTTGAAATGCTGTCCAGGCCAGATATACCAAGCAGGAAGTACGCGGGTGCCGACCAATTGTGGCTCTTCAAGCGAGATTTACAAGCCGAGGCCCTCGACTGGAGCAGAACCACCGCGTTCTGCTGATTCCTGCAAACGAGGAGGAGAGGGATGGAGGCAGAGGCCCAGAGAGAGAGAGAGAGAGAGGGGGGGAGGGAGGAAAAGGAATGTGAAAACGGAGAAGACACTTTTAAACTGTAGGGAGCAGCAACAGTCTTCCAAAGGAGGCTTCTGGCTGCAGCGAGGCGGCAGGAGAGAGGGGGCTGTTAACCGGGGGACCTCGGTGTCAGCTGGGGCTTCCTGCCAAACGGGAGAGCGGAGCGGGGGCTGAGAGGGCGGTGGCGCTGAGCGGCGGAGTGGCCGTGAGATTCACTGCAGATTAAAGACATAAGTAACTAACAGAGTCTGACATGTCTGACAGGATGGAAGGTGATGTAAAATTTAATCACATGACATGTTGGGATCAAATACCTTTTATTCATTGGTGATTTAAATTTTTATGTTCTTTTGGTTTATATATGTGTGTATACACACACAAACACACACACATACACAGGTTTGTAATTATATCTTTGTGGGGACTCTCTATTCATTTCTATGGGGAAAACCATAATCCCAACATGACGACCTTAACCCCTACCCAGCCCTAACCTTAACCACAAGTAACCAAACAAAATGCGAGACTTTTGGCATTTTTAGTTATTGATTTGTCACGAATTTTCATGAAATTCAGTTTCCTCTTGTGGGGACCGAAAAAAATGGTCCCCACAATGTCGAAATATCAGGTTTTTATCACATTTTGGGGACATTTGGTCCCCACAATGTAATATATAAATGACTCACCCACATATAAATACAAAAAAGTTCTGAGATTTATCAGTCATTTTATATTTTTGATTTTGTCAGATTGCCTTTGAAGAGGCACAAAAAAGACCCAATTATTAATTGTATCCATATATAATTATAATAGTATAATTATGAAGACACAGAATGGTGTTTAAATATTGCAGATCAATTTGTACTTTGCTAAAAATAAAGCTGAAAAAGTTGAATCAGCCTGTGGGACAGCATGCTGTCAAAAACGTCCCCGTCATGCGCGTCACGCGGGGCCTGGCGCGGGGCCCGCTGCCGTCAGTCGCTAATGACGACATGACAACCCAGCGCGTCGCCGCAGCTACTCGCGCTCCTGTGTGCAGGGCATCTCCTTCCTTTGTTAACAAAGAGAACCGCTCCTGACCTCATTAAAACCCACGTTCATATTTATTTACATTAACAGATTACAACCAGCTGTGGACAAGAGTTCCTGCTCCAGGGTGACAATTATCCAACAATATGCAAATGGCATGATGCCATTAAAAAAACTGCGGAAGCACTGGTATGTTCTCGAAAATCCAGCCCCTGTTGACTTATTATTCTAAATTTCCCTTTCTCAAAAGAAGATTATACCTCTCCTGTTGCATTTGTTTTGTCTTAATCAGATTTGCATTATGCTTCATGCAATGTATGCTTTTTGAAATAATAAATATTCTCTTTCCCTGTAACATATAGATAAGTGATGCACATGAAACTTTTGTTTTTCAAGTCAAAGTTGGCAGGAGGGAAATCCACTCTCCGGAAATCGAACAGCACCGAATTCCTCTTCAGACGCGTAGAGTCTCCCGTTACGAAGGAAGTTCGGCCAGAAAATCGGCGGTCGCTCAGTAAGTCAGCTCCCCTCAACCAACCAACCAACCAACCAACCAGCCAACCAACTAATCAGTTAAAGATTTGTTTGTCACAAACACAGTTATACTCAGAGCACTATTTACTAAAATGCTCGTTTCCCTATAGCTCCAAGACTGTGCAACAGGGCACATATGTATAATGAGACAAAACATTAAGTGATAATCATAAATATCTATAAATATTGTGCAGTTTACAGTAATGTGACAGGTGGTAAAGCAAAGAGCCTAAAGGATGGATGAGGGGGTTTTTCCATATGTAAGCTCCACATGAACTTTATATGTGCAGTTGCTGCACAGAATCGTCTCCCAAAGTCTTCACTCATTTCCTCACGTCTTTCCAATTTTCCTGGAAAACATGCCTCCAGAGGACTTTGGACATGTTAGCACAAGGCCAAAATCACTAGACCGTCTCATACGATGGTGGAAATGAGAAGATCCTCCTCTGCCCCCAGTGTGAGCTTGCAGATGGCCGGTGCTTGTCGCTGGTGTTTATCTGCCCCATGCGCTTTGAGATGAGTTATCCTCAGGTTTCACATACCGCTGGCACTGCTGTGACCCCCTGCCACACTCACATCATGATGCCTTTTAACATATGATACCGTCACCATAGTTACCTAAAAGGACATTTTAGGGCACAATGTCACAGTGCGAGAGATTTCATTACAAACTGGTGTTGCACAGAGTTTTAAGGACAAGATTAATGTTTTAAAATAAAATATTATTTTCAACAACTTTATTATGATCACTTTTATTATGTTGGAGTGCTCTTTCAGTTAAGTGTCAAACTCATTGTGATGGGACAGATTCTACAAGCTGTAAAAATCCTTTTTCAATTTGCGTAATGTAGGTATTTTACTAAGGTTTGCCAGGTTATGTTAAATATACTGGTGTCATGGCACTGATTAGTATAAAAATACTTTACAATAATCATTTATTTTTAAGACTGCAAAGTTGGAAATTCTTCAAATATTAAAAAATAAACAATGTCGAATCACGTTTTAACCTAATTAAAAACATGCTACGTTAAAATGTGTTCTAGCTACTACTGTGTATAATAAAATATGGCACATCTTCTGCATATTCACTTACATTCCGCTTTTGGCATTTATTCGGCTTCTTAACGCATACAGTAGCACATGTAGAGGAATGGTTTACTGCCAGTGCAAAATTGATTGGATGTGAAATGAAAGAGATAATGTGAAAATGCAATATCTTGGCGTGCGAACGGTATTCCGGAAAACACGTCTGAGGGCTGAACGGTGTATAATGAAGGTGCACATGTAACACCGGCCCAACCACATCCCACGAAAGACCATAAAGATTCCCCCAGTTTGGGAGAGAAAAAATATTGGACATGTTACCTGATAACATATGCGCTTTAAATAAAATGTTCAGTACAGCTTATCCTCAGATATAAATTATTCATATGTCTTCCGTGGCTAAATAAGAAAAATTGGATTTTGAGCCATTCACGTTGTCCACATTAAAAGCAAACCCATAAAACCCATTCATCACATCCAACAGATAAGGGCCACATGGTTTGCCGTCTTTCTGTGCCCGTACAATATAATAAAGATGTCTTCCATCTTCTCAGAGGAGCTAAAGATATATTTCCTTGAAGTCAATGCCACCATTGGGGAAATTATCACATTCAGATGAATATGGAGGGAAACATTCTTGGACATGTAATTTGCCGTGAAGTGTACTGTGTAAAATTCTCAAGTTCGCAAAAACCGTGGCAGTGTTTTAGGGTGGTACAAATAAGTCACACCTTTAATGGTACCAGTCAGCTTCAGGTAACATCAATAGCTGAGAATTAATAGATAGTAGTCACTCGTTGTCACAAGAGTTAGTCGATTTGCTATTTGTGTCAGTGTCGTTTAGCGTGGCAGGTGGAAACATCTAGAAGCGACTTGAAGTTAAGCAGTAATTAATGCATTTGGGTCACTTGGCTGTTTCCTTTGGGTGCAACATTTACTCTTCGGAATCTTGATCACTTGCTCACCCTCTCCAGCAGTGGCAGTAAGGAGCAGAGTAAAGGTCTTCTGAGCAGGGATCAGACCGTGTCTGTCCTCAGTGTGTGGAAATTTCTGCAAGCAACAGCTTGCCTGGGAACTGCCCGTAGTTTTTCACTGCTATAAAGCCAACACTTAATGCATGGTAAATTAACTGAAGAAGTCGTGTATGTAAATCCTTTCTAGAGTCTTCTATATGATAGAAATGATAATATGGCACAATTTTTAATACATATCTAAAAGTCAAATATGCATAACAATTCCCAGGTGATTCTAGGGTATTACTCTGGTATGTCATTGGATTTCTCCCTTTTTAGTGTAAAATATCCTGTTGACTTCTGAAGAAAAAAACAGAACCACGTTACATTGTTGATGGATTCCGGGCTTAATGGTGGCATTTGTCCAGTCACTCTTCCTGTTGACTTGAAAGGGCTTTAATAGCTAACCGGCTTAACCACTGTGATTATTGCGATGCACTTTTTAAGTGCATCGCACTGCTGGAGGGGAACTATATCACAACTGTTTACACACATCAGAAACAAAAACAAATCATGGGAGTTCACTCACTAATAGTAAAAGTCAACACACTGTAGTGACTAACCTCAAACCAGTGTTTTCACTCTGTGAGAGCTAATCAAATGTCAAAATACTTTACCTTCTGTGCAGTGTTTCTGGAATTCATATTATTTTAAATATACAGGAATGCATAGCTATAAACACATAATTGCTGGAGCTGGCAAATGTCACCGCTGTGTTCTTCATCCATGACTGACCTGTACTCTGAACACTATGGTCTAAGCAGTTTGTTGATGCTGAGATCTCATTTAGTTCATGTTGAACAGAATAATAATTCAAGCTGCTGACAGTGGCTAAGAAAATTAGCAGGAGCTAGAGAAATGCCGGTTAATGAAGTTACATAGCATCATACATGTGAAGCTGCGATGAAGGCCACTCTTTTGGTTTGGTGCGTGAGAAGCACAGAACACGCAAGCAAGCAAACAAGCAATGGGCGCGTACGCCGAGCGACTATCCGTGAGAGGGTGAGATGTCGGTTTTGAAGTCGGCTGGGTGCCAGTGGACGACACGGACAGAGGAGACTGTGGAGCAGCACCGTGATGATTCATCTTCCATTTCATTGTCCCCTTCACCTGCTCAGCACTCAGCAGTGAAATGAAAGAAAGTTCCAGAGCATCGATGCAGTCACCCGTAGCCACTTAAGTCATAAACTAATGGCTGATGACAAAACGTAGCAGGGAAATGTACAGACCTGCCCATCTCAAGTCATGTTTTAGCTTAATCTTTTAGTATGGCATTCCCGTGTTAATGCTATCGCGTGCCCTGTTGGCAATTGATACGCTTATATAGTAAAGAGAAAACAAGTATGGATAAGGATATTAGTTTCACGCTTCCCCTGATCTTTAAATCCAATGGAAACTTGGCTTTATTCGTTTCCATTTTACTGAAATCACCAAGGCTGTGGCTTTGATTTAAATGCAGCTCTGTCAACAAGGCTGGGCCTATATAGGTGAACACATATGGGAACAAATTAAATAACGTGTGGGAGATTTTCTGCTATGAATCGGACCTTCATTTACAGCACCACTTAAGACATGGAGACAAGGCCAAAGGCTATTGAAATGTATTTCAGCTAAGTGCAGACACTCGGAATAAATTGGTTTAGCTATACAGATGCCGGAGAGCCAGTCAATGGTGCTCTACCCTGACATGCTCTGTCGATACGCGTCGGTCCTGCTCAGAATCCCTTTAATTGATAGTTCTTCAAAAACGCCGATGCCCGGAACATACTTTAAAAGCACTCCAGTGTACAACTGACGGTAATTAATTATTTTGTAACTCCAGGGATTGCAGGTTTGTAAATTGAAGGGGGGGGGGGGGGGTGATGACTGGTAGAAATTCAAGTAGCCATTTGAATCTTTCCCAAGGAAAGGATGTGCCACCTTATCAGAATATATACACAGCAATTAAGAGGCTCAGCTAATTTGCCTTTGTACTGATAGGAACCTCCTTCTCTCCCTGCTATAAGGAATAAGATGAAATTCCCAGGAGTGCAATGAGAGATCCTTATGTGTGTCCCTCTGGGTGTTCTATCGTTCCCGTGGATCTTGGCATTAGCCTGTCCCCTAGCCAGGAGCCACGAACTCCTGTTCTGTCCACCAAAGGCGCAGAAGCCAGATCGTGTATCACGGCTGCGGTTTACACAGCCGGTACTGCGAGCGGTGTATCTCTGCAGACCTACACAAGCTGCCGTCTATGCCACATGTTTAATATGGTTAGTATTTGGGTGGGGGCTGTGAATGAATACACATGTGAAACCGCCTGGGGCATCACCGCTACTTTATGCACACCAATTTGTTTGTTATATAAATAAATCCCTATGTAGTTCATCCAATATTTCGTTAAATGACCAAATGAAATGACGTGTATGTGTATATTAGCGACATGCTGGTATAATGAACAGTTCAAATAGTTGTAAAGAGCTGTATTTTCTAAATACCTCATTCTGAACCTGCGGTAAAGTTTCCTTAAATCTCGTCTGTCTACGTGGAGGGTAAAATAGTGCCATACGCTTCAGCAAAGTGGGTGCGGGAATGTTATGAGATGCAAAGATAAAGTCTTAGCTTTTCTGCTTGAAGAATGACGAGCCTCTTAGTGCAAGTAGTGAGTAAAAGACCATTACGTGGATTTATGGTAATGGGGATGGCTTTGGGTTGCCTGCGAGTACCATATGCTGAATCAGAAGCTGCCACTCGTTTACACGGTCAGACTGCCGCAACAGGTTGTGTCTCTCCCTCACTGTCATGCTGCTTATATCTTTTGGTCTACAGAAATATTTTTTCCTAATATGTGTCTAAATATCTAAAGCTGTAGTTCGGAGTTCAGGTGTCTTTGAAGATATTGATTCTCGTGTGGGATTCTCTCACAGCTATTTTATTTTTCTTCCACTTAATTAGCTTGCACAATTTTTGCATCCTGAGGCAAAAATCAGTTACAGGTTCAATTCATTACTCTCTTTGTGTGGTTGTTTTGTTTAAAAGATAGCATGTCAGAAGTTCGTTTTAACCCCTATGGGTAGTTGGCACATAACGATGTTACATTTATTTATTTCATTTTTATGGGTTGTTTATCTATTTAAAATTTAAACTTTATTGTTACTAATACTAATATCTGTTTGTGCCAGTATTGGTCATGATTATGTAAATTTATTCCTGTGATTCAAATATTTTTTAAAAACCACAGCTTATCTTTCATAAATAGTGTATGGTTACTGCAGCAATTAAACATGGACTCAGATCTCTCTCTTTTTTTTAATCGTTACTCCTTGTCGACCCTGTGAATCCCCATCTAGTTTTCAAGCTCAACTACAGCGCCTCAGACAGCGCCGATAAGAATGGGGTGAAGAGCAAACTCAAGAAATTCATTTCGAGGCGTCCATCGATGAAGACGCTGCAGGAGAAAGGTCTTATCAAAGGTAGGAGTGTCCTCTGCATGCTTTCCCGGCCTCTGAAAGGCTCAAGGTGTTTCTCAGTATGTGTACTTCACTGTGCTTGTGTTCTCGTGCGCCCGTTTTACATCATCTTCCATTGCCAAAGACCTGTTCCAATACTCAAGATCAATATGGAGGAAGGTAAAAATCCCTGGATGTTGTTCTTGCCCCAGATATCAAGGATACATCGGTTGTATCCTTGCCAAATGAGATCAATCCCATGATTCATGGTCATGCCAAGACCACAAGTACGATCTTTGCGTTCTTGCTATTGAGAAACACCCTCAGCTTCTTCGCTCGCAGCCGCTATTCTGCCTGCTCGCCCACCCCTCGTTCGCGACATAACATTACGCTCAGCTTGTAAAGCCTACCCCCCCCACACCATTACTGACAGATGATGCCAACTCCCGCAAAATAGCAAACACTTTTGTGCAGTTTAAACTGGAATGCGACCTCCCAGTTGGCTAATCGCTGGATTATCACTTTGACCGTACCTGTGAGAGGAGCGCCAGTCACTCTCTCTAATTACCTCCCTAATGTAAATGAGATGTGGTGACTGGGCCCCCGTTCCACCGGCTGTCCCCGGGATAGAGCAGGCAGCAGCCCCCACCAGTCAGGCAGCCATTATCGTTATTTCACCCCGTGAAGGTGAGTTTATTTTATATTTACACAGCAATTTGCCTAAGCTCTCTTTTTCCCCAGGTCACACTCTCACCATTGCCAATTCAAAATGGTGTTAATGCTCTTGGCAAACACCGCTCCGGAAATCTCGGCATGGTCTCCGCATAACATATGAACCCAGATCAACCGCAGGTTAATTTTTATAGTAACTGCACCCCCAGTATCATTTTCCTTCATCAAACACCCAGAGAAGCATTAGCCTTGATTTCCACCCAAACCCAAGAAGATGCAGCACAACTTCCCAGCACAGGTCAGCAGACCAAGGTACCGCCATGAATGACGGCGCGCTGGTTAATATTTGCCATCAAATCCGCTTCGTAATATTTTATGGTCACAATGAAATGACATTTATGTATGGCTGTTAGTGACAGGCCAATGAGACGCCGGCCTTAAAATAAAGTCTGCAATGATTCATGTCGCCTACCTGTCAGTCTTACATTAATATTATGACCGTATCTGTCATGTTGCCCATCTATAATGGATACCAGCTGTAAAATACCCTTTGGCATGACATCATATAGGATATTGTCCTGATAGCGCTCTGTTAGCCACTGACAAAAGGCACATCAGGTGTTTGCAGGGATCATTAATTACTAAAATGACAATAGCAGCAGGGCACATTTTACATCACAGCCCAGCCCACATGAGCGGAGATGGGTACTCTTCAGTATTCCATGGGCACATTCAGGATGAGCCTGACAGCCCATCTATCAGTCTTGTATTTCTCGATTGTCTGAACAGACAAACTGCTCAAATATACTGAAAAGACCAGAATAGTGCATCAATGCTACCTGCAGCCAGCGTGTCATGATAATGTAGCTGCTATTTTTGAGCATAATCATTATAAATACACACACCCACACACTGTATATATACATATGAATGCTGAACACAGAAATATAACAAGTAAATACAGTTTCAGCTGGGCCAGCAAATAAACAGTGATTTTTTTTCTATATTTATGTTGTAGTCAAATATATTTAGACTATGGTTTTGTATTAAAGAGGATTTTTAAACACACAGAGAAAGTGTCATAAAACAAGTCATCTTTTCCTCTAACGTCGCCCTCTTAAATTACAGTTAGTATTTTAAAATACAGTTACTGTCTGATTTATCAAGCTTTGGCAATTGAGGGGCATTTGCAGAATTTTTCTTGGAATTACAAAACTTTGTGTATTTATATTCAAGCCATATGAATTCAATTAAGAGACATAGACAGAAAAACACAGAAAACAAGAAATATATAGCATCCCAAAGACAACGTTTGTTTGACGAGATCCATGATAGCTATTTTGTGTACAGAGTTATCTTGCTTTTAGACATTCCCGCGTTTGGGCATTCCTCTCCCTGCGAGCATCTCGAACGAGGCGAGGCAGAGCGCCACTCAGAAGGGCACTGTCAGCTAAATATTGATATATAAGCTGCCCCTTTAAAAACGTTGTCGATTTTCTATATACCAATATTGACTGTCTGTGTTTGATGAATGCATTACTAGTCTGATGCTGACTTACCGTTAGAGATTAACTTGTTAGTTCTGCCTCTGAGGCCAGAGCAGAATAACTACAAATGCCCAGAGATATTAGAATTGACTGTTCAAATTGACTGAGTGTGGAGGTTTGCAGTGGATTTAGGCCGCTTAACGGCTGAGCGGGATGCACCAAAGAAAAGTGCATATTTGGTAATAGAGCGCATTTCCTTTGTTTAACGCAATGACCCTTTAGAGGATTGAGGTCTATGGGAAAATGCTCGCAATAAAAGAACAAGCCTGTGATTAATCATCAGATGTTTTTATTAGGTTCTAAACAATGTGACTTGGGAATTGGTGTCCACTGTAAATATTACGATGATAAACAAAGCCACACAGGTCAGAGACGATCAGAGGAGGAATTTTAGCTTTAAACGCTTAGCTCGCACGCTCCCCAGAGTCAGGTAGCAGGCCTCAGATGCTCCATTTAGCTCAATATTTCCAGCAGAATAATAATAAGTCACACTATGGGGAAAATATTCCCGTTTATGTAAAAAAACAAAAAACATCTGATCTGAATTTATCCACAGCATGTTTATGCTGGGAAAAGTGAAAAGCCATTCAGACAGAGCTGATTTTAATGTGCAAAATAAAATAACACACACACTCACACACACACACACACATATATATATATATATGTCATTTTTATTTACTGATTCAAGTCTGGTATTATTACCAGTGAGTACGGTTTTAATATTGTGCGTCATTGTCAATTATACATCCATTCATCTTCTATAAACACTTATCCTCTACAGGTCGATGGCTACAATAACATTAAAAGTTTTTAAAGTAAAAATAAATTTGCAGTTATTATTGTCCTTGATTAAAAGCCATAAAATTTTTATGTGCCTTTTTTATATATATAAAACAAGCCATCCCATTTGGAACAGGGAGATTATATGAATAATGTGTTGAAGTCTAGCATGATGTATGTGAGACTCAGGAGGTAGGGCGGCTGTATACCACACAGCGCTCATCAAAAGGTGGAGAGGCCCTGCTCTAAGACTTTTGGTGCTTTTCCAATGGCATACGGGAACCGACCCGTGTCTGAGCCATACCGCAAAGAGAGACTAGTTACAGCACGGTTCCAGCTCACTTTGGTTTTCCACTGCAAAAGGGCCAGCTTGGAAAAGGCACTGCCGAGTGTCAGTGATGTAAAACCTAAGAGACACTTATTTAATGCGCACGGTGTGCATCATGACTTGCTATCTGCAGTTATAATTATATTTTTTTTTACTACATGGTAATTTCTGCTAGCACACATGTGAGGATCACCGTGTTAGGGAAGTATCGAACACTAGTGGGATCAGCATTTGCTTCTGTAAATGTGCATTATAAATCCATTCCATTCAGCTGTTCTATAATACTTTTTTTAAGTAAGTGGTTGGAAATTTTCAAGTTCTTAGGTACAGTATCAGGAAGGTATCAATACATCTCAAGGTGCAATAGTACAAATAATGAATAATATATGGAACACGACTATCTCCGGGTATTTCGAGCTCGGTTTGGTCACACTAGCAAGCAGGGCCATGTCAGCGTGGGTACGGCTCGGGTATGGGTCGGGTATGGGTCGGGTACGGGTCGGATACGGCTCGCATACTTGCAATGAAAAACCGCCAGTTCGCAATACAGCTCGGGTGCGTCTCAGTTCATGGTGGCAGTGGAAAAGCGCCATTTGAATTGATAGCATTGACACACTGTTTCGGAATGGAATGAGGCATTCCCCGTGTCTGTGGGCGCCGGGCACCGGCGGTCTGGCTCCAGCGTGGCACTGAATGACACGGATGTAAACTCCGGTATGGAAATGATTCTGTGGCCAATGAAGGCGTGTCACATTGGGCATGTCGGCACATATAAACTGAAAAAGGCTCATTCTCAAAGATCCAGTTTGGCTTAATTACCAGAAGACAAAAAACACACTCACTGGCCACTTTATTAAGTACACCAAGCTAGTACGAAGTCTGACCCACATTTGCCTTTAGGATTGCTAGTTTTTGCCTGCATTCCAAGTCTTTCTGTTCACCGCTGTTATTTTTGCACTCGTGGTCTTGCTGTTAGCTCTAACGAGTCTGGCCATCGTCCTCTGACCTCTCCCATTAGCAAGGTGTTTCTGCTCACAGAAATGCCCCCGACTGGATGTTTTGTGTTCATCACACCATGCCCTGTAAACGTTTGACACTGCAGCGTGTGAAAGTCCCAGGAGGGAGGCTGTTTCTGAGAGGCTGGAACCACCACGTCTGGCACCAGCAATCACACCACACTGAGAATCACTAAGATCTCGCATGGCAGCCGCTCTAATGCTTAGTCACACAGTAAGTCAGTGGCTTGACCCCGCCTGTCTGCTGTATGTATGCAGCTGCAGCCACACGATTGGCTGCTTGGGGGAGCTGGCTGTTTGCATTAACGAGCAGGTGTGTGCTTGCTGCATGCCATTACCATTAAATGACCTCATAGAAATTTAAATTCTCTGATCATTTAATAATACTGCATGTTTTATGTACATTTTCTTACTAAATCTTCATCTGAATCGTGTATATATTGCCATGTTTACCTTTGATTTACATCCCTGCTTCCCTGCTTCTTCTTTCAGTCTGGTGTTCATGATGCTCTTTGAATGTTTTTTGTGTTCTTAGGTGTTGCACCCTCTGACTTGCTAAAACCACATCTCTTTTTGTTGCAGATCGAGTGTTCGGCTGTCACTTGGTAACTCTTTGCCAACGGGAGGGGACCACCGTGCCAAGCTTCGTCAGGCTCTGCATAGAGGCTGTGGAGAAGCGAGGTAAAGGGGTCGGGGAGTCACCATGTACCTTGACACATTCAGCTACAGCCAATAAACTCCAGCCTGAGTGAAGAGTAGGGAGACTCTTCATTGCCCTTCGTACATCAGTAGACCTACAGGGGAATTCTTACTGGCCAAATAAAGAATAAATATATGAAATAAATATAAAATAAATAAAACAAATAACGGAAATAGGACATATAGCAACATAAATTGTAAAAATGAACTTTATGTATGTTATATAAGAGACTATTATCATACAAGAATAGCAAATCCCTGCACCTGTATATATTTCAAATAAGCAATTCACTTGAAAGACTGCATAGTTATGTAAACGGGACTCTAAAGGATTCCTAAAGGAGCTACTGCACTGTACTATAAGAGCACCCTAACACTTAGCGAAATATTGTAATGTAACTACCAATTAAATGTTAAGCCCATTCCTTAGTTTAAAATTTAGGGATGCTGTAAACTAGCTTTAATCCAAACTAACAAGTGGTCTTGGAGAGATTGTCTCCATTGCACTGAGAGTTTGGGGGGGTGGGGGGGGGGGGGGGAAGGGTGGTTAGTAAGGACACACAGAGGTTTTTTTCCTTGTTTTGTATTATTTACAGTGGGTGCTGTTCATATATTCATGTAGATGATTTCCATAGTAAAAATACACATTGTAGCTTAAAAATGCATGACATAATTTGTCTAAACATCAGATTGACTAGCATTACATAATATACTTATTTTATTTATAATAAAACACCATCGTAAAATGTTCAGTCATATCAGGTTTGTTTACACACATTAAATCGTATAATGGATCAAATGTTTTATACTTTATGCACACTGTGTTTGAGAATTACTTTAGGCTAATAGTCATATTCCAATGAAGACAAGGCATATTGTTAATAGTCATACTGTAACTGAGAAGGTATTTTTTATGGCTTTCATATCCTGCAACATTTTATATTTGTCTCAAAAGGATCCTTTGAAACTGTGTCATGAAAACTGAAACTTAACATGTAAACGTTTTGGAACTGAACATCAGAAGTGCTGAACAATAATGAACTTTCTGCATCTTTTTGACCCGTGACTTAAGTCCTTAAGAATATTCTTGACTGAGAGCTGCAGCATCACTTAACAAAACTGATATACTGCATGGTACATGACATGACACAGTAATGTCCTTTAGTGATTCAGGCTGCTGAGCTCAGGATGTCAGTGCTTAAATGGAACTGCCTCCGTGACCTGTGAGAAACAGCAAATGCATCTCACCTTTGATATACTACAGAGGTTTGCTTTTGTACATCAGTACATAGTAGGACTGAACAAAAGATTTTATCGTATTTTTTCATATCACTCGGTATCGATAATTATCTTGAGTCAAGTCATTATTTCTTTACTTCAATGTTCCATTTTTTCTTAAAGCTCCCTTAGAATCCCCCTTAAGGTTGCACCACCTAATATTTTTGGACTAAAATGTTGACACTGTAGTTTATTTGAATGTATTGAAATATATTCATGTTACAAAATTTTCATCAGATAATGTTAGGCATGCTATGTATTTATTAAAGAATAAAAATAATTATGGACTTTGTCAAAAAAAAAAAATATCGTGTCGTTCACGCTTGTGCATTGATGAGGCTGGAGTATTAATGCTCTGTCTGCTAAAGTATGCTATGTATTTTTGAGGTTAGAGTACTATTGCTTTGTTCAGTAAAGTGTACTGTGCATTTCTGAGGTTGGAGAATTATCACTTTGTCCAGTAAATTGTCTTATGCCTTTATGAGGTTGGAGTATTATTGCTTTGTCCAGTAAAGTGTCCTGCGCTTTTATGAGGTTGGAGTATTGTTGCTCTGTCTAGTAAAGTGTCCTTTGCCTTTATGAGGTTGGAGTATTATCATTGTATGTTGAGGCAATGTTGATGGGGAGATGCCTACCCAGAAGGTCTTTGTCGAATCATTAAAGTAAAAAAAGAATTGTGGCGGACATACAGTGAATGTAACTTTCTGTCTTATAGGCAAGGTAAACTCATAATTCTCAGCTAGTGCACTAAATCGTGAGTAAATGTGTTCAAAAGCTGTCTGGCCTCTCAGGGTGGTGATTGAGCTTGAGAGACGCTGACAGAGCTCCTCTATCTATGTGTATGACCGTAGGAGCTCTCTCTTTGTATGGACAGGGGGAGAATGAGGCTTGAAACCTCACAGTACGTGGGATTATTGTGCGTGGGTCATTGCTGGTGGATGTAACGCACTCTCCATTTTGTTAAACGAGGCAGTGATTGATAGCACCCCATATTCCCATCCACGGGGGGGGGGGGGGGGAGCCTCATTTCTCTTACTTTACCTTTTCATTCAGTCTTCAGTTGCTCTTTCCTAGTGAAACTACTTCAGCAATCCGTTTTCATTCGTTTTATTGTGCACTTAGAAAAGACTGTGAGCCCACTAATGAGGACCCGCTATGATTTCATAAACACACAGACGGGGCATCAATTTAGATCGCAGTTCTGGGTTCGCGAGGCTTGCTGAAAATTCTGACGCTTAACTGGGCGCTTTTTGGAGCTAATACGTCCTTAATAGAGTATCATCACTCCCCAGCTTGCAGATTTTGTTTTATTTATGTTGGCATGACAGCCCCCCCCCCCCCCCCCACTTGCGAGGTGCCTGGCTGTTACAGTCCCTCGCTGTCTCTGCAGTCGGCGCTTTCCCAAGCCCCTTCCAAGCGGGGAGATCGCCGGCCCGTTTGACCATTAAGACAAACACTCTTCACTGTTTTTTTGTCCATTTCAAAATGTTCACTTTGATTCCGGGCCCGTTTTGTGTCTCCTCTAAATTGTTTACAACCCACTAAAAATGAGTATGAATTATATGTTTGTGTTTCGGATTCCTTCTGCGGTCATGATCAAATGTTTGCTCTGAACAATTAGCAATCTGTGGTTAAAGTTACAGTGACCCAAAAAATGTGCTGCTAAGGTTACAGAGTTTTTCCCTCCCTCTCTAAAAACAAGCAGGTCGGCCGGTCAGGGATTTTTTGAGGGCTATTTCAGGACGTGCCCGGCTTATCAGCATCTCATTGTGGCAAAAAATAGCATCCTCGCGGTTAGTGTGTGTATAATGCAACATACCGACAGCACGTTATCTTTTCCCAGCATTCTCCTGATTTTTATATGAGCTGTTTGTTTACATTTTGATGTAACTCTTTTTTGTTACCTATGGAGTATGTCGTACTGCTTTTATGAAATGCCAGAACTGAGTCTGGGAAAATCTCAGTGATAAAGGGCTGGTCCTGGGCATTAGCGCACATGCAATTGGCTGCTTGGACTTCACATTAATAGCTCATTATACTTGGCTAGTTTTAAGCGTCTTTAATGAGAATGCAGTAAGTTTTAATGAAATTGGGGATTTTAACTTGTTTCAAGTTCAAAGCTTAGTGAGGTGCTGATGTACTCTTGAATAAAGTACTTAAGGTTAAATTGCTTCAGTAAATTCCCTACAATATAAACAAATAACTTGTAAAATGCCAGGCTTTGGAATGTAATTTAATTGATTTTTTTTATGAAGTGAGCATTTCAGTAATGAGAATTGTTGTGGATCTCGGTGTCTGGACTTCTTGACATTCAGAGTAAATTTGCCAGTGTTGATTATGGGAGTGAAACTATAAAGAATAGAATACAGACATAATGTCAGCCATGGGAATTTCTGAAAAGCGTGACCAATATGTAGTGAATAAGAAGGCGTCACGGTGTGTATAAAGGGGAAATAGCCCCTGCGGACACCTGTACACTGTGACGAACACAACTACACGACGTACAGCTGCATGACAAAGTATAATACTCACTTAAGTTTGAATTAGCAGTCTAGAACATTTCATGACTAAAATATTACATTCGGCGTCAACCCATGTATAAGCTATAGACCCTTTGTGTTTTCCTGTATATTAAAAGAAAAAAGAAAAAAAGTGCTTTACCAACAAATTGTGCCATCTGCCTTTTCTGCTGAAAACACACCACAGTGCGGCCGGCTTCACAAAGTGATTTCCATAATGCCATTCCTTGGCAAATTGCTGTTTTAGAAAAACAGGAATTTCATGCAAAAGTATCCTTGTTTATTAATCCATAGAAACATGAGAATAGATTTAATTAGATTGAAGTAGGTCAGAGATCAGTAATCAAACTGAATGTTTAATGGGAAACGTTTTTTTCCGGTATTCTTCAAAAGGCTCACATTTACCACAGAAAGCCTCTTATTGCCAATATCCTGCGATCCGCAGTTTACTTAATCACATTCACCTGAAGGCTGCTGGATTGACATCAAATAGTCTTATGAAAGAGACAGGAGACTAAAAATAGTGACCAAAACTCATGGCATGCAGATGACAGGAAAGCCTGTCATCTGCAAGGTCTATAGCCAAAAAAAAGGAAATTAATTTCCTGTGATTTCAGAGAAGTGTGCTTACGTCAGCGCTCCACTGGCGGACTGGAGAAGAGCAGGTCATTGATCCCAGGAGGAAACAGGCGTTTCCACTAGACGGCCCCACGTGTCACTTCCTGTGGCTGCCCTCATGCCGAGGCTCCCTGTGAACATCAAGGAGAAGCAGTTTCAGAAAGGGGGGCGATATGCAGGGTCTGGAGGAGCGTTCTGATGTTACCTTTTGGAGGGAGATGTGGCACACGGGTGACACAAAGTCCCTGTTTATTTATGTTGAGAATATATTTACATGCTATATATGTCATATTTAATGTGGGTACGCCTTTGATGGACTTGACTATTCACTGATGATCAAAGACAGAAAAAATGAAATATTTTTGATCTGTGGAAATAAGTCACTGGGTTGTCTTAGGGAAATTGTATTATAATTAACCATTTTTTTCTTTTCTTCTTGTCAACAAAAACTGTGTACTAACCAATGGAGTGCTTAAAAACACACTTTGCCAAAAGTGAGTAATTACCTGCACTGCTGCGGATGCCCCAGTAATCGCATATTTTGGCCGTTAACTCCAAAGGCTCTGGGATACTTAACCCCCATCATTTTCAGGACATGCCTGTATTTTCTTCCATTTGCAAATGGATGTGTTTTGGAGCAGCAAGACCATCCATTCATCTCCCAAACACTTATCCAATACAAGCTTATGTGGTAGCACCATATACCAATGTTAATCATTTGCTAATTTGTTTTTTTAAAAGGGTTATCGAAAGAGATCCTTTTGTCAAATTGTGACAAAATAAGAACACCACGAATGACCTTTCTTTACTCCTCGCTACAAGGAAACAACAAAGAAATGCATTTCTCAGCTAAATAGACAGTACACAGTTCATTTCCATAATAATGAATCACTTCCAATCTGAAGATGACCATGTGGTCAGGAATCACTAAGTCCGCCAACTCTTACTGGTCTGGTTTGGCTGCAGCATTCTTGTTTTTGGCATTGAAATCAAATGGCACGTGAACATTATAATTGGGGCAATTTTCTAAATATCTTCAACTTACGTTCACGTCGTAACGGGTCCAGATGGGTACGGTGTCCAATTGCATCGCTGGACCCAATGGCGGTACACAATTCCTGGGCAGTTAATAATGTGAATAAAAGTGTTTGAAGGAAACACTGTCACTTTGTCCGCCTCCTTCTCAGGATCTGCTTCATAATTATTTGGTGGGGGCAGGAACAGGTTTGTTGTTTCTGGGGCTCCACTTAAAAAGTGACTTTGGGGCCCCCTGCCCCCCCTCAGATATTTCAAAAATTGCATAAGTAGCTAGGGAGTAGTAAGATCGTAGCTAGCTAACTGCTTAGCAGAACGTGCTAGGTCAGTTTATAAAGTGTTTATTTAATATCTAGTGTAGTGATGGTTCATCACTGTATATAATATTTAGTGTAGTGCCTGTAGTGAAGGATTTTTTGGACATTCACTGAATGTCCTGCCCAGCATTTTATGACGTGGCTCCATGTCTTCTCCAGGTCTTGAAACCGATGGTATTTACCGAGTCAGTGGAAATCTGGCCAGCATCCAGAAGTTACGATTCTTGATTGATGAAGGTAAGCTGCTTATTTATAGTAACAGATACCATATAAACAGATGGATGCTATGTGTAAAATAAGACAGAGGCAGTCTCTGGGTGCATGTATCTGTTATCTTCGCATCATACTTACAATGACCCAATATTAACCATGGACCTGGGAGACCACACTGATTCAGGCAATAGCTTCTTCTTTGGAGGTAAGAAGATTGCAATTTACACTGCTAGCTTTAAAACCCCTCCTTATTGTAGCAAAGTCAGATCTTTTACATCTAACCATAACCTTCGTGGATTGTCTTTGCACTCGAGGGTGGGTTTCTGATACAATTGAAGTCATGGGGAACATGTACACTGGACACACAGAACCAAGGGGGTGGGGTTCTAATACAATCAAACTCATGGAGAACATACAGATTGCACACACAGAACAAAGCGTGGGTTTCCAATACAATCAAACTCATGGAGAACATACAGACTGCGCACACAGAACCAAGCGTGGGTTTCCAATACAATCAAACTCATGGAGAACATACAGACTGCGCACACAGAACCAAGCGTGGGTTTCCAATACAATCAAACTCATGGGGAACATACAGACTGCGCACACAGAACCAAGCGTGGGTTTCCAATACAATCAAACTCATGGGGAACATACAGACTGCACACATAGAACCAAGCGTGGGTTTCCAATACAATCAAACTCATGGGGAACATACAGATTGCGCACACAGAACCAAGCGTGGGTTTCCAATACAATCAAACTCATGGGGAACATACAGACTGCGCACATAGAACCAAGCGTGGGTTTCCAATACAATCAAACTCATGGGGAACATACAGACTGCGCACACAGAACCAAGCGTGGGTTTCAAACGCCCGATCAAGGACCTCTGAAGCTGTTTGTCCATTCATACAGTGATACTACAAAATACATTCTAAGGCCAAACAGATGTCTTTTATACATATTATATATATGTCTACATTATAATACCCAAATGACATGCATTGTTTGGTTGTGTTCTCTCCACCTTTGAATATAGCATTCTTTTTTATTCCTTTTTCCTGTGATTTTTTGTTCCAATGAGAATCACACTGGTACCCGTTTCAGCATCACTGAATTAAATAAGTGCAACTAAAAGAGACTCCAAAACAGACACATGTTCATCCGTTGTTGTTCGGCACCGTTCATTGTGGCTGAGAGCAGTCAGGACCCTTCATCACCAGACGTGCTGAAGCTGAAGCTGAAGCTGTCTTTAAGCAGTGGTAAGAGCAGTGAGCGGTACTTAACTGACAATCCATCAAATCCCCCATTTAAAAGTCTTAAACAATTAACCCATCACTAATGAGAGCAAAAGGTCCATTGGACACTTAAGAGCTCTTGATGGAACAAACGAGGAACATGATAGGCTGAGCTGGCTTGCCACGTGTCCTACACCATGGGTAAATGCGTGGTCCACGCCATCAGTAAACGAAGTGATTTCTTAAAATAGCTTTCTTGTGATTTAATGATAATAATCAAGAATAATACATTTATCAGTCGAAGGCAGTCATTTTTCAATAACACCTTTCTGGGTAGCCTTCTTTGCTAAAGATCTAGCATGCTTTCATGGAGACCACAGTCAATGCTGATAATTATGTCCTGCAAACATAGACATTCTGATTATCATCTAATGCTGTTCTCTAAGGCAGGGCCGCAGAACGCTAGCTGTTTGAGGGAGGGCTTAGTTCATTTCCAAAAACAAACCGAATATCTTATTTATGAATATATATTTGATTGCATCAAAAAAAAAAGTTTTACTGGTCTGTGACATTTTTTGCACAACATGAGATATTGGTCATGAAAAGGTAAGGCAATTGAAGATGTGAAATTATTATTATTATTATTATTATTTTCTCAGTTTCCAGTTTACATTCACACTCATATTGAGGATTTAGGGATTTGTTCCTCTGTCCTCCACTTATAATGGCCGGCTGACCTCACAGCTGACGTGTAAATATGTAGTTACAATGAAAAAGTTTAAATAGCTTTCAGAAGTGTAGTCACCCTCCTTAGAGATCACTGATTGATAACCTAAGTCAGTGTTATAAACAGTACATTTTTCTCAATGCTTCTAACTCAATTGTACTAGAGCATTATAGCTCAAAAATAAATTACATAGGCCAAAATCTGATTTTATCATAATTTATAGTGTACACAATAAAAAAGTCGATGTTACAGAGCATCATTTTGAACTGTAGAGTATTTAAATCATATTTCACTACACAACACACCATAAAAAGGGTACCTCTAAAACAAATCATGGGTAAGGGCCATGCTGGACTTTTCTACAGAAACCTGCATGGTAAATACTTACATATAAGTGTATTGGGATATAACATAACCTGTAAATGATGAAGAAAATGTTTACTTGACCAAATACAAATGATGGAAAAGCTGGCTCGATTAGCGCTTTACCATTATCGTCTTAACAAGGTTTTAATTGAAAAGATAATTGAAGACACTCCAGTATCATTAATTTGCTCGCTAATCGCCTCATCTGACAAACACAGGCAGTGCTTCATTTGAAAACATTTATTCCTGTTATTGTTTTTCGCACTGATACAAAAATTGGCATAACTTCCCAAACAGGCGTGATGTGGAGCCGTTTCCATGGCAGCATGGAAATAATCGTTAGAAAGCTGCGAGTGATATGAAGGTCTTCTCCACAATTCTAGTGAAGTGCCATAGGTTTGCTGCCGTTGCTTATGCTAATCTTTAATGAGAGGTGATGGATGATGTCAGTGTGATTTATTACGTGTCTGTAAAGAGAACGGATTGAACTCAGATGCGAAATCGCCTGAAAAAATCCAAAGAGCACGACCGCTCATGGCCAATAAACTCTGGTTCTGAATCCATCGTATGTCAAAATCTGCTTTCACAGTAATTTAAACTCTGCAGTACGTAAAATGCAAGATTCTACAATAACAGAGATGAACTACTGTACTAGGAATCTATTTGAGCATAAATTTACTTCATTTTGAAGTCTAATAGCCACTATGAGCATTAAACCTTTACTGCATAACTTAACAAGGTTGTCTTAAGATTTGTTATTAATGGTGAGCAGGTGGCATAGTGACTAAGGTTCTGCTATAGTACCCCTGAGCAAAGTACTTAATTTGAATGAAAGATTATAAGTAAACATGATAAGTATTTTTGGAACAGTACCAAAAAATATAAAACTAAAGCAAACTTCACCAGAATCTGCTACCAATGCTACAAACGTAATTTCTACCATCCTCATACACACTAGATAAAAATGAAGATGAGCACTCAGCAAACAAATCGTCAGGAATCTCCCAGTAGCAGAGTTGCGCGGACTCATGAACTACTGCGATTCCACTAGAGCTCGCGGCATCTCCCTCACTGCTGGCTGCAAATCCAACGCAGTCGCAGCCTTACTTGCATTACGGAACACCAGCCGGTTTTAACCGGAGACACGCTGGTCCCCGGCCTGCCAACGGCAGGTGTTTATTGCCGTTGAGGTGGGCGGGGCACCTCATGCCGTTACCAGGATACCTGTCAGCAAAGCCGGATTTAATTAGTCCGGTCACTGAAGCTTGAAAAGTAACTTTTGGCCTGGGGTGAGAATCCCACTGTGCCGCACACTCGGCTAATTACGCACCGGGCCGTGCAAATAGGTGGCTCGGCGGCGGCTGTGATTGGATCTCTTTTGTTATGTCAGTGCTACACCCCGAGGAGCTCCGGGGATGCCAGAACTCAATGGTGGCCAGGTCAGTTCATGAAGCAGTGACCCGCAGGTGACCCTAACCCAGGTGACGGGGAGAGTGCATGCCAGACCTGGCTCGCTGCTTCACTGGGCATGTTTCCAGTGACGCTGAATAGCTCTGAGGGGCAGTTTGACTCCTACACCATCAGCATTCTTCTAGCCACTAAGAGAGGCGGTTACCACACTAAAAGAGATGGTAGCACCGGTTAAGCTAGCATCCCGGTATCGTCTCCCCCAGGCCTTAAAGACAGTTAGGTTTGTGGCATCTTGATGTGTGTCGCTGTACAAACTTTACCTGGACTAGAGTCAGCACACATGCTTAGGGGAGGAAGGGAGATGGCTTCCCAGAATGCACCGGACGCCACCTCCTCCAGCTGCATCCTCCAAACACTGCACGCCCTACCAGCGCAGTGTGAGCATGTAAGCTCCCCTTCATAAACAAAAATCTTATTTCCATAATTCATACAGCTGGTTGGCATTTACAGGCACATCAGGTGCAATTGGGACGTTTCAGGAACATTAACATGTATAGAATCGTTTGTCAACAGATCAACAGTGTGCGCAAATCAGCCTGAACTGGTCCCCGCAGCCAGCTGCTAATTACGGTGCGTCCCGTCTGTTTAATGATGGCCCTCTTTGCATGTGAATTATGGCCAAAGGCTTGTGGCATTAGACTTCTGCTTCCACAGTAACTCCGATCGAAAGGGCACAAACCAAATAGTATTTTTCAAGTGAAAATACTTAGAGAATAACTTTTTCCTGACCTTGCATTTGGCCATATCCGGTACAGTTTGGATCATAGCATTAAGGTCATTATTCTCTGCCGTTTCCTATCATCTCGTATTTGTATATGTTGGCAACACCTCCAGGATTGAAGGTTGGAATCCCACATACACATCCATTCTCCATGTCTGGAGTGTGCATGTTCTCTCCGCGTTGTGTTGATTTTCAGTCTTCCCCTGCAGTGCAGAGATATGCAGTTAGGCTAATTGGTGTCGCGGAAATGGTCGCAGTGTGTCCCCGTGACCTAGACTGGGATAAGACGTGGGAAGATGGAAGGATATGACTTGTATAAGAATCCAAGCATAGACAAGTGAGACTTTTAGTGATCAGACTGTCTCTGCTTGGCCAAACAGCCATTAACAAGCTGGGTTATAATGGCAGAACAGGGCAAGTTATTTCAGTTATACTGTTCATCCATCTTCCATACAGTACACTTATCTAGTAAAGGGCCATGGTGAGCCTGGGGGCA